CTTGTAGGGTTACTACATTTTTCTCCAGTTTGCGCACGGTGTTTTGCAGTTCTGTAACATCGTCTGAGCAGCTGGATAAGCCTCGTTCCATGTCTGACACTGTCGTTTTAATTGCCTCAAGATCTGAGCGAACAGCCGAAGCGTTGCTTGCTATCTCGGATTTAACTGCTTGTAATTCAGCTTTGACCATTTCAAATTCGTTTGACAGTGCAGTTTTCAGTTCTTTTTGAAAGAGCGAGGTTATTTCCGTTTTGATCGATGAGATCAGCTCAGCTTTAATCTCCAAAATGTCAGTGTGTTCGGCTGGCTCGGACATCATGCTAGGTGTATTAGCATCCTCTTGATTAGCAGCGGTTTTCCCCGTGTACTTATATTTACGTAGTTTGCCCGCCATTTGGATTTATAGAGAACCCAGCTGCTTTATGTGAAGTAGTAAAGTCTTAGATAGATGTAGCATCTCATATTTTCGATTAAAGCGCCTTAAATTTATAAGTTATATTACGTTTTTTGCAGAGCTCACCCAACTTTTACCTTACTCCATCGCCTGCTCAGTAGCGCCCCCACCGTCATGCTTTTTAAAAAAAATTATAAAATATTTTTTTTTTCTAAATTTCACGATCTATAATCCCTACTAATAACTCCTGTACAGCAGTCCCACAACATTCTGACACTTAAAGACACTGGAATACCCTGTCAGAAAAGTCTAGTGGCTGTCAATGAGCTTTTTACAGTGTCTGCTATAATGTTAATGCTGTTTTGTGTGTTAAATGCACAGTATTATGATCTTATTGCCACATTAGATCATTATGATAACATAATATACGCCTTCAGTGAATTCCTGAAGATAAATACCAAAAAAATAAAACAACTGGAATCATTCCAGCAGTCGCGATCGTCTGATGTGTTCGATGAAAAATACAGACTGTGGAATGTGTTTTTAACAGAAATATTTTGTAAACTGAATTTATGAACGTAAAATGTTGAAAACAGCAGATTACTGGCAACCACAGCTGCTGGTATTTTTTCCGTAAAATCAAAAAAGGAAAAAAAAAAAACAGCAAAACGGTTTTTGTGTCACCATTGTGGAGGTTAGTAGCGTCTGTGTTCAAGTCCAAGATGAACTAAAGAGTATTTGATGTTATGCTGCATCTTCTTTTGTTTAAAGGTGACTGTGTAGTTACTAATGCAGTCAAAATCTGTTTGCTAGTTGCAATCACACGTGAACACATTATTGCATCTAAAGACTTTACATTTTTGTGCACTAAGCTTTGATTTTGTAAACTAAACATTGTATCAGTTCATGAGATATGGTTATATTTCGTACATTTATACAGTTCTATAAAACTTCCATATTTTTCACAGAAAGATTCTGGCAATCACAGCTGCTGGTATTTTTTTTTTCGGAAATTTAACAGATATTTTACACAATAAGAGTTTGCTAATCAACACTCTCTTGGTGTTGATAATGTTAACACTTTCAAAAGTGTTATTTTTAACACGTATAGTGGTTCCCATATAAACTCTGAGGGAGTGTTCATTTTAACTCCAAGGTAGTTAAATCTACTATCTAAAATTTGCAGTGCATATGAAGCAAGAAATTGCGAGGACATATGGTGACGTATGCAGGTACTGTAGTGTTGTCCCAATTCTTAGGAGTAAATTTTGGAAGGGGACGGGGTAGGGGTACAAAAATACAATTGGATTGGGCCATAGACAGGTGTGTGACTTTCCTATTTATCAGCATAATCAAACACAGCTGGACTCATATGAAGGTGTAAAACCATCTCAAGGATGATCAGAAGAAATGGAGAGCAAAATATATGAGTGTCACAGCAAAGGGTCTGATTACTTAGGACCACGTCATATTTCAGTTGTTCTTTTTTAGTAAAAATCTGCAAAAATGTCACCAATTCTGTGTTTTTCTTTCAATATGGGCTGCTGTGTGTATACATAATGAGGAAAAAACTGAACATTAGTGATTTTAGCAAATGGCTGCAATATAACAAAGAGTGACAAATCTAAGGGGGGCTGAATACTTTCTGTACCCACTGTACATATGATATACCAGAAACAAATTAAGCACTGTAATGAATTTTGAAACTTAAATTTTTGTCTTAATTTTCTTGATGATCAGCAGAAAGGCAAAAAAAATATACAGTATCTTCTGAAAAAAAAAAAAAAACATGTATGTCTAGCATGTGAAGAATCACATATTTATACAATTAGTTTTTTTCTGCAATGTTTTTTAATTTCAATACAGATATTTGCAGTAATGAGTCTTTTTTCTGATTCTGAAAAAGAATCTGAACAGAAGACCTCAAGGATCTTAGACAGGCATGTCCATACTCGGTCCTGGAGGGCCGGCGTCCTGCAAAGTTTAGTTCCAACCCCAATCAGACACACCTGGGCAAGCTAATCAAGCTCTTACTAGGCTATCTAGAAACATCCTTGCAGGTGTGTTAAGGCAAGTTGGAGCTAAAATCTGCAGGACACCGGCCCTCCAGGACTGATTTTGGACACCCCTGACCTAAGAGAAAAATATCTGTTTGGCAGTGTTGCCAAATATTTTGCGGTCAGTCCATTTAAAGATTTAAAAAACAAACACTAAATGTTCATATTTAATTCCAAATTGAACCGGCAGCCACTTCAAGAATAGCAAAATCTGGGAAACTTGGCCATGTTTTCGAATGTTAGTCAGCAATCTTGCTGCCGCATTTTGTACTTGCTGTAACAGAGCCAGAGTTTTCTGGCTAACTCCCAGATAAAGGGAGTTAAAGTAGTCTAGGTGTAAAAAAATGGAAGCACGAGTGAGCATTGTTGCCTCACAGCAAGAAAGTCACTGGTTTGAGTCCCGGCTGGGTCAGTTAGCATTTCTGCATGGAGTTTGCATGTTCTCCTGTGTTGGCGAGGGTTTCCTTCAGGGTTTCCTCCAATTTCTCCAAAGACATGCTGTAGGTGAAACAAATAAACTAAATTGGCCGTAGTGTATGTGTGTGTATGGATGTTTCCCAATACTTGGTTGCAACTTGAAGGGCATCCACATCTGGAAAACTGTGGTGATCCCTGATGAATAAAGGGACGAAGCTGTAGGAAAATAAATGAATGAATAACTGTCTTCAATCAATGTCATTGAAAGACAGAAATTACTTCATTTCTCAGCTTAAAAAACAGGACACTACCACAGAATTTATTTACTTGTCAATTTAAAATCAAAATCAAATAATACATCTAGACTTTTTTAATGCAATATTCCAAAATTAGCAGAAAAATTGTTGAATGGAAACAGCTATTCTTGCGCTACTTTGAAGTCATAACACCAATCAACTAAACACAGTAAAACACAACACGCTAATTAAAACGAGATAGATACAGCTAGAGAACCAATCAGAACAACACACGTGAACAAGGGGAGGATAAGGAAACAAATTAAATCAATAATCCAAAAATATACTGAATCATGACTTTAAAACAGAGATATAGTTGAAGTCATAATTATTAGCCCTCCTGTAAATTCTTTTTTTCTTTAAATTCCAAATGATGTTTAACAGAGCAAGGAAATTTTCACAGTATTTCCTATTTTTTTTTTTCTGGAGAAAGTCTAATTTGTTTTATTTTGGCTAGAATAAAAGCGGTTTTGAATTTTTTAAAAATCATTTTAAGGTCAATATTATTAGCTCCCTTAAGCAATATATATTTTTGATAATCTACAGAACAACCTTTTATTATACAATAACTTGCCTAATTACCCTAACCTGCTAAACTACCCTAATTAACTTAGTCGAATTTTTGAATGTCACTTTAAGCTAAATACTAGTATCTTGAAAAATATCTATTCAAATATTATTTACTGTCATCATGGCAAAGATAAAAGAATGCATAACATAATGTGCATTAAACCAATCAGAGTCTCATCTTCCATGCCCTTTAAGAGTCAGTTGCATTATGACATGGCGCACTTGCTATTTACATGGCGGACTTTGTAAGTGGAAAAACTGAACACTTCACTAGCGAGAAAACAGTTAAACAGAACATCTGCAGTGAGAATAAACAATGAGCCACCTCCATTCGGCCTCTTTACTTTCTCTTTACTTTACTTTTACTCTTTACTCCTTTACTTTTGTGAATAAGGAAACCGTGGAAACTCACTTCACTGAAAACATCCATTAGCCTACATATTTAATTTTGTTTGTTAAGCGCAAAGATTTGTTTCAAAACTATTTCTAAATTCCGTTCCGTTTTATTAAAACAAATATAAATATGCATATATTAAATAATACTACTAATTACAATAACATTATACGAATGCAAATTGTCATGAATAAACTGAGAAAGCCCCACCGAGATGGTATCATGGAGGTAGTGTTTTTTTTCTATTTATGTAGAAAATACTATTTTTAATCCTTCAATTCTTTTTCATATGCAAAGATATTTGTGTATTGCTGTACATCCTGTGTGTATTAAGCAATGTGTAAGTTTGGACCTGCATAGGCACATAGCTAATGCACTCTGCACTGGACTTTAGACCAGCTTTCAGTTGGTCAGTGACGTGGTCTATTTTAGTTCCTCAAAATAGCAACATGCCAACAATCTGCCTTAACACACAACCTTTTTAGACCAACACACCCAATAGTCCACAAAGTGGTGCAAATGGATTTGAAACGTATTGTTGCGCTGGTCTGAAAATAGCAACAAATGGCACCAAACACATCTTGTGCCTTATTGCGCCGGGTGTATGATAGGGCCCCTAATGTCTACATTAGTGACAGGGTGTGATTTCTCATTAAAACTGACCGATTTCACTAAAATACACTATAAACTAAATAACTGTATAATCTGCATGATATGATTGCATTTATGAACGCCACAAAGACACATTAGATTCAGAATCATATTCTTTTATGTGTTCTGTCCTATATGGCCAGCGGCTCGCTCAGTCTGTGTAGTTGTGGTGTTTCAGACTCAGGGTATTAACAATCTCATATGTCTCTGTCCTGGTCTAGGTGCTCTATAACTCAATAAAGAACGAGAAGCTGGAGTGGGCGATGTGAGTATCCAATATCATCCTCAGGAGTCAGGAGCGCTTACATTTATCATGTGACTTCTGGGGCTAATCTGCGTGTAATGTGCGCAGTACCTGCACACTGGCATTAATGCCGTTAATCCGCTCTGTTTCTGCAGTGAGGAAGAGGAGTTGAGGAAGAGCCTCTCAGAGCTGGTGGAGGAGCAGTGCGAGGCGGGAGGGAAGAGGGTTGTCAGGGTAACGGACGGCAGTAACCCTTTCATCGGCATCCCGCTTTTACTCAATGCCACCACGTACAAACACGGGGTTCTGACGCGCAAGAGCCATGCAGATATGGATGGCAAACGCAGTAAGTCTGTTGTTTTAAACATGAAGAAAGCTCGATTTTGGCGGATTTGTAAATGTGAACTTGAATTTTAGTTGTGGCTTTACTGTGCTATACTAGTTCCAGTAAGCTAAAGTGTTGAACTGCACTTTACATTTCGTCACCTTAGAATTATAAGATTCTATCTGCGTTCTGAATGATTTTGTGACAATAGCCCCTTTCACACATACAGACCTTTCCGGAAAATTACCGGCAATTTTCCGGAAAGGTTGTATGTGTGAACAGGTCCTTTTTGAAAATACCGGTAAATTCGTTCTGGCTATTTTCCGGAAAGAGAAGTTGTAACATTACAATTGTAATTTGCCGGAATGCTGCGCTGTGTGAATGCAGAAGGAAGATTGCCGGAAAGATCACGTGCACGTCTAGAACGTGCTGACGTGAGACGTCTGCTTAAGCCTGTCAGAACAGTCAGACGCATTCACGTCTGTGCGATTTAAGAGAATAAAAACCTTAGAATATTTTTCCAGACACATGTAGCTGCTAGAAGATAACGTTTATATGTTCATCTTAATGCCAACCGTGTAATAAATTATCGATAAGATGCTTATGATAAGCCGTTGTTTGTTTACCTTCAAGCTTTGCGTGTGCCCATGAAGCCCATGGGCACACACACATATCATGTACATCTCGACATGCGAAAGTGTTTCTCTATATGTTTTCATCGAAGTTGTTCACAATACTGATCCATCCACAGAGTTTGTGATGTAGTCAAATGTTTACAAACACAAGCGCAGCCGTTTAGAGGTCATTTCTGGTTAATAATGTCAGAATTTACCGGTATTTTGGAATGATGTGTGAATGCTCTTTTCCGGAAAAATTCCGTAACGTCCATGCCTGTGTGAACAGCCCTTTTTGAATATACTGGTAAAGTCGTTTCGGAAATTTTCTGGATATTTACCGGTATAACTGTGAAAGTGGCTACTGAGTTTCAAAGTTTTGGCATTTCAAACAGCAAACAATATGTATGTAATGCTTTGTTCACACCAGACGCGGAACGCACGGATAAATTGCGCTATTCGCACGTAAATAGCCGCGTGAACATTTGAGTTTACTCGCTTAATATGTGCGTTAAACCCCGCTTCATTCGCATGTCAAATTCACATCAGAACAGACGCGGATTCGCGTGATGGGCAGGGCTTCTGTCTGCCCGAAGACTAGCTTTATAGCTAAATGGCTTACATGGATTTTATGTAGAAAATAACAGTGTTTATGTGCTTTATGAAGACTGAAAAACAGCGTCGATACGTTTAGGGCCGTGTCTGAGTCCACTACATTCTTTCAGAGGTGCATCCAGCTCTGTGAGCTCATAAACTCCTCCAGAAACTTAACCTGGATGACGGAGGCTTTCAGCCGTGCTTCTGACAGAGCCAAGCTGAGTTTGATGAAATGTTGTCGGTGAAGGCTGGAGGATTTCCCTCGGAACACCGACAACAGGTTCTATGTCACAATCACATCCCCACAAGTGCAAGCTTCTGATTGGCTAACGCGGTGCAAATGTACGCTGAAGTTCAGATTTTCGAAATCAAGAGATTCGTCAAACGTGCAAAACGCTCAATTCGCCCCGCGCTATTCGCGCATTTTGCGTCATTCGCGCCGCGCCATTCGCGCGTATCGCACCGCAGGATGTCTATTCGCACGTTTGCATTGACTTAACATGTAAATCACTCGCGCTTGACGCACGTGCCGCGTCTGGTGTGAACGCAGCATAACAGTTCTCTTCCATACATTAACATGACAGAGACCCTAAATGTACTCTAAGTTAAAATTATCAAAATTCTCTTACATTTGCAAATTGGGGTAAAACAAACAGGGCAAATGCAAACAGAACCTTCTCATTCTGAAAAGTCATTTTCAGCTTCTAATCATAAGGTTCTATCTGGCAGATCGTTAAATGCTTGAGAAAGTTACATTTTTGCTTTTTATAACATTTATTTCATGTTTTAGGATGAATATATTTTTCTTATTCAAATTAATCATACAAGGCTGTGCTAAATATTTTATCCAGTGCAGATGTTAATTTAATGTAATTAATATGGTAATATTTATTGTATTTTATCTTTTATATCACCTATTGAACTTAATTTATTGAATTATATCCTATGAATTTATTCAAGTATTTTCCCAAATCTCATGTGTGAAGCACTGCTTGTGGGGCGCTTCATGTTAAGTGAAGTTTATTCATAAACAAATTTCGAGAGGATCACGTGCTTATGATTGTTCACAGCTGTTCCAACTTTAGCTAATGACTGATTATCCTATCAGACGATCCTTAACTCGCTATAAATAACCAGACTTTTCTCATCTCAATATCTTCGTCTTGAAGAAACTCCCCCACCCAACCCTACTTTCCCTCCTTTCAAACGGGTGTCATGGTGGCCAGCGATTAGCGATGTCGCCTCACAGCAAGAATGCCCCTGGTTTAATTCCTTTCCAAACCAGACGGCATTTCTGTGCGGAGTTTGCTCGTTCTCCCCGTGGTCGCGTGGGTTTTCCCCGGGTCCTCCGGTTTCCTCCCACAGTTCAAAAACAAGCACTCTAAACAATTAATCAAAATACTTTAGCTAAACTCTGAGTACACCTTTCAGCATACATATCCGACACTTAGCTACAACAAGCAAGAAGGGGAGTCATCGAGATCTACCTAAGCTCAAACTCCCCTCTCGCCTTGCAACGGGAGGGAGCCCAGTGCTCGAGGATCTTATAAGCTCAGGGCTCTCTCCCGGGACAGCACGCCAAACTAGCTTTACTATCAATCATCAGCTAAGTGTGAACTCATGAAAAACATTTCAAATAGGTCACTCATGAGCTTTTATAATGGTTAGCGTATCATCTAAAAAGGCAAGTGGCCAATGTAAACAGTTAAGCAGCTCACTTTCAGAAAAGCTCTGATGTCAAAGGAATCCAATAAATCAGCATCACTCAGGACCCGCCAAGGTTTCCGTCTATTTAATAATGCAGCATCTTTAATTAAAACAATTAGGTTGTGTCTCGCAGCGAGGTGGAGTTCATTTGTGAGCTGGTTTAGAGATTTTCTTTCCTCGCCTTGTGTTGCAGCAAACAACAGCAGAGCTCATTAGTGAAGTGTGTCTTTATTCTGTCTCTCTCTCACACACACACACACACACTTTCGCTTTTATTCTGTCTCTCTGCAGCCCCAAGAGGACGCAGAGGCTGGAAGAAGTTTTACGCCGTGCTGAAGGGGATGATTCTCTACCTGCAGAAAGTAATTTAAATCTGCCTCCCACACACACACACACACTGAAACACAGTCTTGCTCTATTTTGCAGTGTGTGCACTGTACTGTATGCATGAAATAGTAAGACAGGCAACAACATGTTCTGAAATGTGCAACAGTCTAAATATTGATCTTCACATTGCAGTGCACTGCGTTTTTGCAGTTTACAATCTAATTTAATACGACTGTCAAGTGTCAAAACTAAAATGCTAAATAATAGCTAAAAAATTTGCAAAACGATAACTGAAATTCACTTTCAGTGTTTTCCTGAAGATCTGCTCTCACAATATATATATATTTTTAATTGATCAACATTGTCTCACATTTTGCACCGTAATTTAATAATTAATATTATGACGCTGGTTTGAGACAAAAACAAAAAGCTTTTACTAACTTGATTGTGCTACTCTAATAGCTATAGACAACATACAATGTATGGATATTATGGTAATCAAGGCTATTATTAGTGATTTTCAGTACTGAATAAAATAAGTGTATTTTTAAAATTAACATTTTGCGCATTTGCTATGGAAGGCAATGAGGGCCAAAAATGATTTAATTCTTTCATACATAAGTTTTAAATACTCCCCCGAATATATGAAACCCCTATTTTTGTGTGTTCTTTTTTTTAATGTGACCATGATCTAGATTGCATTGCTTTAAAGTTTACATGGCGATGGAAATGCTTGGCGATTATGTTTATAGACCATTTCAATGTGGTCACATGAACATTTCCTGCTTTTATCAAACTATTTCATAACTATATTAAGAGGCAATTCAATCATAACTTAATGTTAAACAGCTATCATAACATTATTTATCAATATGTCTCTTTCTCAAAAGCTATAGAAATTAAAAGTGTGAAACACAAAATTTGTTCGGACCATTGTTTTTGATTACATCCCCCAAAAAGGTCTTTATCGTTTTTTTCTCCCTTTTCTGCAAATATTAGCAAATTTCCTAGATATATTGTGACACTTCTGATTTTTTGATTCTCAAATATTTTCTTGGTTTAAACAACGTAACAGTGAGCATATTTTCTGATTGATTATGTTATGATTATGTTATCATAACAATCTAATGTGACAACAAGATTGTAATACTGTGCATTTATACAGTGGCCATATTCGTTCATGTAAACACACCTAGAACAACATTAGCATTATAGCAGACACTGTAAAAAGCCCATTCCCAGCCACTTGACTTTTCTGACAGAGTATTCGAGTGTCATCGAGTGTCTGAATGTTGTGGGACTGCTGTACAGGAGTTATGATTATGGATTATAGATCGCGAAATTTAGCAATTTTTAGAAATTTTAGCTTTTTTTTTTTTAAGCATGACGGTAAAACACAAACACGGTTATATATGTGTATATATATATATATATATGTATATATATATATATATATATATATATATATATATGTATATATATATATATATAAATATGTATATATATATATATATATATATAAACGTGTTTGTTTGTTGTAAAAATTCATAACAATGACAAAAAATACAAATTTGTGGATCTCCTTACTTCCGGGTGTAACTATCCTGCCATTGTCGCTGGTGTATTCTGGGAAATTTTCTCACTGCTTGGTTTCGAATGTGGTCCTGAAATATCTACCCCTATTCACCCCTTCTCCTTAGCCCTACGCCTTTAAGCTAAAGAGAATTGGGACACCCCTACCCCTTGGCGTGAACGCGCAAAACGAGGGGAAAGGGGAAGAGCTAAGGGGTAGAATTGGGATTGGGCCTTTTTAACTGAGAGAAGAGTAGAGTAAACATTAGTAGCCTAAACAGTGTGTATTTGTGAATAAAGCATATTCTGTAATCATGTTTAAAATTATTATTGCTGTCACCATAGAAATCAGCATGTATTTTACAAACTGTAAATGTTTGAAAACAGTGATACCAATGTTTTCCATAACAAGTGTTATGCATGTATTTTTCAAGCCATCACAAGAAAGCAGATTTGAGTTTGGAAACTGATCATGTGCCGCACTTGATGTTCTTATCACACCAGTGTGATTGTATGCGTCAAACAGTTAAAGTACTATACAATTGCAGTATGATTGTGTAAACTCTACTGCTTTTTTGAACGTGTTTCTTTAGAAAGTGTAGACATAAACTTTTAAATTGTCATAAGGCATCAATTTCAGATATTATTAGTAATAATTGTATTGGCACACCTTTCGTGCATAACCTTATGTGCCACCTTTTGCAGCTTCTATTCCAACAACCTGTATTTGAAAAAACGTGAGTAAGACTGAATCTTCTTTTAAGTGAAGTTTGCTTATAAACTAATTTCGAGAGGATCACGTGCTTATGATTTATCACGGCCGGTCTCGTATTAGCTAATCATTATCTTCCAATCATATGAGCCCTAAGCTACTATAAATAACCTCAGTTTTCAGTCCACATTATCTTCGTTTGGAAGAAATCCCCTTTCCTCCCCAATTCTCCTCCTTGACCTTGATCGGGCGGCACGGTGGCCCGGTGGTTAGCACTGAGAGCCTCAGAGCAAGAACATCACCGGCCTAGTTTCGCCTAGCCGGTAAGCGTTTCTGTGAGGAGTTTGTATGTTCTCCCGTGTTCGCGTGGGTTTTCCCCGGGCGCAGTCGGGGAGTTCTGAGATCCACCGAGCTCAGGCTCCCCTCTAGCTCTGCGAACGGGGGGGAGCCCCGGGCTCGAGGATCCCTTGAGCTCGGGGCTCTCTCCCGGGACAGCATGCCAAACAAGCTTTGATAGATCATCAGCTAAGTGTGAACTCTTGAAAAAGGGTTTACTGAAGAAACGCAAACAAAAATACAAAGTTACAATAGACTTGATCAGGCTCGCTATAGCTCGATCAAAAAATTGTGTTGCTTCCAACATTCATAACTGCAATCTGACTTAAATGTATGAACAAATGATCTCATGACGTCTTACTGTCAAAGCCAAAATACCAAAGTAAAAGTTATAAATTGTATCAATTATTAAATTATGCATTTTAGATAATACAATCACAATGGATTCTTATTTTATATAAATATAAATTATCATCATGTTTTAACCTTTTCAACTTAATTATTATCACAAATAAATTATGCATAACTGGCCCTTACAATAATAATACACGGATTAATATTAGTGTTTTCTTAGTTCAGCAGTTTTTGCTTGCAGATGTGCGACTTCTGATGTTTTTAACATATATCGTAATATGATGCTATGTCTTAAATATCAAACACAGCAATTTTATTCCCTCTTGTGCTTGGTGATGCATTAACATAATAAAAATTCCAGTTTTTTATATACATACATACAGTTGAGGCAGAATTATTAGCCCTCCTGAATTATTAGCCCTCTGTATAATTTCCGTTTAGCACATTTCTAAACATAATACTTTTAATAACTCATTTCTAATAACTAATAACATTTCTGTTATATTTTACATGATGACAGTAAATAATATTTTACTAGATATTTTTTCAAGATATTACAATTCAGCTTAAAGTGACATTTAAGGGCTTAACTAGGTTATAATTAGGCAAGTTAGGATAATTAGGGAAGTCATTGTAAAACCACGGTTTGGTCTGTAGACAATAAAAAAAAAGAAATATTGTCTAAAGGGGATTTAAAAAAAAAGAAGCTTTTATTCTAGTTGAAATCAAACAAATTAGACTTTCTCCAGAAGCAAAAAATATTATAGAAAATACTGTAAAAAATTCCTTGCTCTGTTCATCGTTTGGAAAATATTTGAAAAACACAGAAGTGTGAATCATTTTGTATTCAGCTGTATATATTTGGCCCCGATGACCTTCCATATTTTGTCCACCGCCTTGGGCGTTTATTTCCATGGCAGATGTTGCACTACATTATGAAATTGCTTTCGCCGTGATAGATGCATGCTGTGTTGCTTTACCATTTGGCCAAATGAAGATTTCTTTTAAGGCAACATAATTATCCAATCCAGTTATGCTGCTTCCATTTCGGAACTGCTTTTGTGATGTGCTTAAATGCCTCTCGGTAGGACTTTGGAGCACAGCCATGAGTGTCTCTCGTTTATGTTAATTACTGCCTTTACATATTCTGCTCTCTGTCTCCCCCGCTTGGCCAGGATGAGTATAAGCCTGATAAGGATCTGTCAGAGGTGGACCTGAAGAATGCAGTACGAGTTCATCACGCTCTCGCTACTAGAGCCTGTGACTACAGCAAAAGACAAAACGTCCTCAAACTGAAGACCTCTGACTGGAGGGTCTTCCTCCTGCAGGCACCGTAAGCATGATTACTCTTTAAAACTTGCATGAAGTGCTTTGAAATCTGCATATTTTATTTGATGATTGATATCATCTGAACTGAAACATGAAGACAGGGCAGGTTATCCAGTAGCCCCTCCCCTTTTTTAAAAAGCACCCAATCGTGTTTTGTTTTTATCACAGCTCTGCCAATGAGAGCGAAATGAAAAGCAAACGAGAAGTGTTTTAAAGAGGGCGGAGCATATGAGATACTAGAGAGCATTTGATTGGTCAAAAGATTTGATTAGAAACTGAAGTATGAGCTGATGTCAAAAATAATTTGATCCATTTTAGGTAAAAGTGACAAACTGCAAGCTTTGAATGTTTATATCTTCTGAATGCGTATTTTTGTCACCGTTTTTGAGCAGTAGATTATTATTATCCTTATGACTAGCATACTAATATTAACTTCTAAAAAATTTATTTTAAATTCACAGGACCTTTAACTCCTTAGGGAATATGTCGCAGTGAACATTGGCCATTTGACTTTCCCTTTAAATGTGTATGTGTGTGCGTATTTGTGCAGGAGTGAAGAGGAGATGATGTCATGGATTTTCAGGATTAATCTAGTCGCTGCTCTCTTTTCGGCTCCTGCTTTTCCCGCTGCCATCGGCTCCATGAAGAAATTCTGCAGGCCACTGCTGCCTTCATCCACCACTAGACTCAACCAGGTGCACAAATACACACTAATGAATTACACAGTGGGGGGAAAGAGATGTAGTTGGATTTTTAATAATAATAGATTGAACAGGGGTGTTAACATTGCACGTCACTCTCCTTGTACTGAGAACAGACTTACTTTTCTTTGAATAATATTGCAAAATAATACTAATATACAGAGCTCAGACTGGTGCTGGAAATATTTTTAAAAGCTTTTAGAATTTTTGTGTTTGAGAGGGTATTTTTGGTTGCTATTTTTGTGCTTAAATTGTTTTGTTTTCATAATGTATTAACTTACTAAGTAGTTAATAGTAATTAAACTATTTTAAAAAATGTATATATACAGTTAAAGTCAGAATTATTAGCCACGCTTTGAATTGTTTTTCTTCTTTAAATATTTCCAACATGATGTTTAACAGAGCAAGAAAATTTTTTCAAAATTATTAGCCCTTTAAGCTATATTTATTCTGATAGTCTACAGAGCAAAGCATCGTTATACAATATATATATATATATATTATTTTTTTTTATTTGTATTTTTTCCAGTTTGTTCACGCGCCTGTAGCATAATGATTAAGCAGTGGGAGTAGACAAAATTAATATAAATTACTCTATAACAAGAGGCAATTTAATCATAACTTAATGTTAAAACAGATGTCATAACATTATTTATCAGTATGTGGCTCTTTTTGCATTCACAGAAGCTGTAGAAATTAAAGATGTAAAACAGGAAATATGTCGGGACCATTGTTTTTGTCTACATTCCTCAAATCTATAAGCAGCACAACTGTTTTCAACATTAACAGATAGTAATAAGAAATATTTCCTAAGCAGCAAATCAGCACAACAGAATGATTCATGTGACTCGAGTACTGAAAGTTCAGCTTTGAATCACATAAATAATAAATCACATTTAAAATGTATTCAAATGTATGTAGTAATTTTAAATGTGCACGCATTTTTTCACAGTTGAAGTCAAAATTATTTGCCCTCCTGTGAATGTTTTTTCTTTCTTTAATATTTCCCAAATAATGTTTAACAGAGCAATGCATTTTTCAGAGTATTTCTAATAATAGTTTTTCTTCTGGATAAAGTCTTATTTGTTTTATTTCGGCTAGAATAAAAGCCATTTTTAATTTTTTAAAAACATTTTAAGGTCAATATTATTATTCCCTTTAAGCTAATAAATTTATCAATTGTTTAAAGAACAAACCATCATTATACAATGGCTTGCCTAATTACCCTAGCCCGCCTAATTAACCTAGTTAAACCTTTAAATTGCACTTTAAGCTGATCTGAACGCTAGCATCTAAAATATCAAGTAAAATTTTATGTACTGTCATCATAAAGATAAAAGTTATTAGAAATGAATTATTAAAACTATTATGTTTAGAAATGTGTTAAACTGAAATTGGGGACAAATATACAGGGAGGCTGATAATTCAGGAGGGCTAATAATTCTATTTTTTTAAAGAATTGCAGCCAACACAAAAGAATTCTGTGATCTTCTAAAATTGTTCATTACTGTATTTTAAATATTTTTCTACATTTGACAGTTACAGTGGTTTGATGTACTAACGTAATACTAATTAATTGTTTATCATTGCCTATAAGCCTGTTGTTGACCATTTTGGAAACTATTTAAAACAATATATAGGCCAGGGGTGGCCAACCCTGTTCCTGGAGAGCCACCGTCCTGCAGATTTCAGTTGCAACCCATATCAAACACACCTGCCTGTAATAATCACGTGGTGTTCAGGTCCTAATTAATTGGTTCAGGTGTGTTTGATATGGGTAGCAACTGAAATCTGCAGGAAGGTAGCTCTCCAGGAACAGGGTTGGCCACCCCTGATATAGGCAGTGTACTATATATATATATATATATATATATATTTCTGCTTCTGATTTGTGCAGGAGGAGCAGCTGAAGTCTCATGAGAATAAACTGAAGCAGGTCAGCGTGGAGCTGGAGGAGCACAAGAGAAGCCCACCAGAGCTGACCCCCAAGAGCAAAGAGTCTGAAGAGTATCGAATCAAAGAGCACTATTTAACTTATGAGGTCAGAACTATACTGATGCTTGTCTAATTAAATGAGGACGTGAATGCTTTACAAGGAGAAGAATGGGTCTGTGGTTGAACTAGTTGGAATACACACATTTAAGCCTTTGTTTTAGTTAACAAATTGATTCATCAAAATGATCAGTGGAGTTCCTCATGTTTTCTGAACGTTGACATGGTCAAACAGGATCTATGCAAAAGCAGATATGGTTTTATAATAGCAGAGTAAGAGTTTATATGACTTAGGCTACTATAAATAACCCCGAATATACATAATTTCTAGAAAAGCATATTTTTTGTAAGTGAATGAGGTTTTGCAAATGCTTTTAGACCTTATATACTTATGTGCATACCTATATATTCAATTAATTATGAAATTGGTTTTAAATAGACATTTAGCCATTAAAGCCATTAGCAATTAAAAATTTTTATAATTTTAAATCTGCGTGTCAAACATGCATTTTCCTTCAGCTTAGTCCCTTTATTCATCTGGGGTCACCACAGCGGAATGAACCGCCGACTTATCCAGCTTATGTTTTGCACACTGGATGCCCGTCCAGCTGCAACCCAGTACTGGGAAACATCCATACACACTCATTCACACACATACACTACAGACAATTTAGCTTACCCAATTCACCTATAGCGCATGTGTTTGGATTGTGGAGGAAACCAGAGCACCCTGAAGAAACCCACGCCAACAAAGAAAGAACATGTAAACTCCACAAAGAAATGCCAACTGACCCAGCCAGGACTCGAACCAGCGACCTTCTTGCTGTGAGGCGACAGTGCTGCTAACCACTGAGCCACCGTGCCGCTGGGTGTCAAACATTCATTCATTCATTCAATTTCTTAAACTGGGGTCGTCACAGGGAAATGAACCGCCAAATTATCCGACATATGTTTTACGCAGCGGATGCCCCTCCTGCGGCAACCCATCACTGGGAAACACACCCACATTAACACACATACACTACAGACAATTTAGCTTACCCAATTTACCTATACCATGTCTTTGGATTGTGGCGGAAACCGGAGCACCCAGAGTAAACCCATGCAAACACGGTGAAAACATGCAAACTCCACACAGAAACACCAACTGACCCAGCTCGAACCAGTGACCTTCTTGCTGTGAGGCGATTGTGCTACCCACTATGCCACCATGCTGCCGTGTCAAACATACTTTAGGCTAAATTTTCTATGAAAATATACAAGTGTCTAAACAAAAAGTCTGGATTTCAGAAAATCGATCACATTTTTATTCTTAATGGGAAAATTTATGCAAGAAAAATAGATTAGATTTATTCTAAAAAATGTAAGAGAAGCATTTGCTGTTTTGATATTTTTCTTTTGTTATAAAGTTCTAGAGTTCAAAATTTGAATGAATGTAATTGTTAATGTAAAATTAGAATTATATTTCTTTCATTCCAAACATACAATATTTACAATTGTTTTATAAAAGAGCAATTCTTTCAGTCATTTTTTTTAAACTCAATACAAAAATAGTATATAGGTTTTTAACATTAACAACCACAATACTACTGCTACTACCATTACAATATTACTGTTATTATTCGGTAACACTTTACAATAAGGTTCATTAGTTGATGCATTTACTAACATGAACTAATCATGAACAACACATGTACAGCATTTATTAATCATAATTGAACATTTACTAATGCATTATTAACATCCAAGTCCATGCTTGTTAACATCAGTTAATGCACCATGAGTTAACATGAACTAACAATGAACTACTGTATTTTCATTAACTAATTTTTACTAACATAAATACATACTGTATTAAATGTATTGTTCATTGTTTATTCATGTTAGTAAATGCATTAATTAACATTAACTAATAAACCTTATTGTAAAGTGTGACCTATTAATCATCTAAATCTCATATTCAGTTGAAGGTCAAATTATTCACCCTCCTGTGAACTTTTTGTTTGGCTGGAATAAAAGAACATTTTTATATTTCTTTAATGATGTTTAACAGAGCAAGAATTTTTTTCACTGTATTTTCGATAATATTTTTTCTTCTGGAGAAAGTCTGGTTTATTTCGGCTAGAATAAAAGCAGTTTTTAATTTTTAAAGAGCCATTATAAGGTCTATTTTATAAGCCCCCTTAAACTATGTTTTTTTTTTCCGATTGTCTACAGAACAAACAACAATTCAGTGCTTCCCACGCATAGACTTTTCATTGGTGGGCCGTACAGGTATATTAACAGCTGCCCAAGTATTTTTAGAGTGCTTTCACACTAGCACTTTTGGTCCACACCCGGGTTCGTTTGACGTCAGAGTACAGTACATGAAGCTAGTGTGAAAGTGTTATCTGGTGCCCACCCATGAACCGTACCGGAGTCTGCCTGAAAGAGGTACAGTTCACGCGAACTCTGGTATGCATGCAATCATACCAAATAACAAAAGTGAACCGCCAACTGTACAACAAATTATCGTTTTCATAACGTTCATTCATTCGTGTGTGTGTGTGTCTGTATACCACATACTGTACCTACCTAAGCAGACTGAGCCAGGGTAATCTCAGTGATAATGTCTGCTAGTCTCCACCAAAAACAGCTTCTCCAGACATTGCGTGATGTTCTGAACTTTTATAATATTTTCAAGAGTTCACACTTAGCTGATGATTAATAATAAAGCATGTTTGGCATGCTGTCCCGGGAGAGAGCCCTGAGCTCAGGATATCCTCAAGCCTGGAGCTCCCTCCTGTTGGAAGGGTGAGAGGGGAGTTTGAGCGCTGGTAGGTCTTGAGAACTCCCCTGCTTGTGAACGTGCTGAGACATAGCTGGCTAAGAGTTTGTCTTAAGATGCTACTTTTTTTCCGGATTCAAACCCAAGCGATGTTCACTGGCGTCAAGCAGTAGAGTATGCAAAATCACTCCTTGACGTTAGATGGCGCTACACAAGTTTGCGCTTCTGACACCTGCTTGTAACACAGAAGAAGAAGACAAAGTTGACACGCTTGTTTTTAAAGTTAATGGCGATTCGAACACGCATGGATGGTTCAAAAAGTAGCTCCTGGTGAGGGGCCAAACCAGTGGCGTTGTATGCTGTTAGGCGACAGTGCTAACCACTGGGCCGCCGTGCCACCCTATCAGGAGAAGGGGAGGAGTAGGGGTGGAAGGGGGGATTCTTCAAGAAGAAGATGACTGTAGTGGAAAACTCTGGTTATTTATAGTGTCGGTATTCATCTGATTGGTGCGATATACGGAGCTGATGCGGTACCAGTTGTGTTCAATTATAAGCATGTGATCTTCTCGAAATTAGCTTATAAATAAACCGCACTTTGCGGCAGATGGACTCGAGTCACTTTCTGTATGTCCAAAACCAAAAGATTCAGTAAAAGCAGAACGCAATGTGAGCGCTTTGCTTTCGTGTCCATCACCTAGCAACAGCCGTATACACAACAGCAACTCGATGATGCAAGCGTACCGCAGTTCAGAAGGAAAACAGGCAGTGTGAACACAAACCAACCGAGAAGGTGGCAAGGGGGAACAATCGAAATGGAATATCCCAGCAATTGAACCAACTGTGAAAGCACCCTTAGTGACAATTTTTTCTATTATTATCATCCTTTTAAACTGTTTTATATCTGCCCAATTTAACCAAACATCCATGGTCGGCTAAGTAGTGGAAAATCTCACCGAATGAAACAGGTAAACGAGACCTGTCAACACTCCCACAGACAGTATAAAGGCTCGTACGCACCGGGACGTACCTTTCAAACCTGTGGGAAGCACTGCTGTTACACAATGATTTGTCTAATTATTCTAACTTGCCTAGTTAACCTAATGAAGCCTTTAAATGTCACTTTAAGCTGAATACTAGTATCTTGAACAATATCTAGTAACATATTGTTTACTGTCATCATAGCAAAGATAAAAGAAATCAGTCATTGGAAATGAGTTATTAAAACTATTTATGTTTAGAAATGTGTTGAAAATCTTCTTTCCATTCCACAGAAATTGGAGGGAAAATGTACAGGGGGGCTAATAATTCAGACTTCAACTATTTATCAGGTTATTCTCAGCTATTTAACTCTTGTGATCATAATTTGACAGAAATGCCGCTATGAGACGTACATCAGCCTCCTGCAGGCCAAGATCCGCGCTGGAAGTGACGACTTGGACAAGATCGAGGCCAGTCTGTTCAGCGGTGAAGCGAAAGAAGGACACCTGCGCAAAACTCAGTCCAGCCCGTCGATCAGTCAAGGTCAGGGGGTCAACGGACGGGCCGCTCATAAACACATCCCAGAACATAACAGCTGAAGGGCTTTCACTGAGCTCACCTGACCAACCCCCCCCAACCCCCCCCCCCCCCCCCCCCCCCCGCGACTCCAACTGGCAGAAATACAAAACGTAGCATTATGACGTCCTTATTATTTCCATGTACAGTAAATTTATGATGACAGTAATATGTATTATTAGTATTATTACTACAGGAGTAAACTTTGTTAATAATGCAATGAACATTATTATGTGCCAAATATGAAACAACGAGGAGACCAAGACTGTATAAGTGGGAGGAAGTAATAACAATGCGCTTAATGTCACGAGAAAGTGGACTGCGGCATCCTAAATGTATTGCACTGTGAGATGCAAACACATTGTGATGTCATTTTGAATGATTTGACACACAAACTTTAGTTCAATTAAAGAGACAATGGGAGAAAAAATCAATAGTACGCACCCTCATATTGGTTCAAACCTGTATGATTTTCTGTCTGAATAACGTTGGGGTCTGATTTATATTAAACTCCATTTACTTTCATTGAATGGGCAGAAGAAAAAAACATTTTCCAAAACATTTTCTTTTGTGTCTTGTTGAAAAATCAAAGAGGTTTGGATAATATGATGGTGTGGCTGAATATTTTGGTCTCTTTAATGAAAAGGGCGGAAAGACAAGAATTTAAAGGTGAAACAAGTCTTTTTGCAGAGGTAAAGTCTGTTAAATATGAAGAGACGTCAGTAAAAATAAAGCATCAAAAGCCCAACCAATAGCACTGATTTTAGGTGGGCCTGTCGTTTTGATTGACCAATGGCAGACGTTGGGGTGTTTCAAAAATGGAATAGTTGCACAGAAAAGGCACTTCACCTTTAAACGATTACTGACAAGTGTTAGGCATAATATGGAAGGCCATTGGGGCCAAAATTTGATCATGTCAACATGTCAATAAGTGATCACTGTATTTGGATTATATTATCATAATATAATAATTTAGTATTATATATGCAGAACTATAGTAGTTGCGAGTGTCAAAATGGTGAAAAAAAAATGCATGTACAGTAGCCCCTCATTAATCACGAGTTACATTCTAATTATAGCCCGCAATAGGCGAAATCCGCAAAGTAGTCTGCTTTATTTTTTACAATTATTATAGATGTTTTAGATTAATTATTATAGAGGCTGTAAAACCCCTCCCTACACTACACTTTTCTATCTTGTGTAAACATTCGCGTAACTTCTACCTTATTTTGGCATGTCCAAAAGTCTAACTTTTTGTGCAATTGTTAGCATCTTCCTCTGACTTTTAAGTGCTACTTTAGGTGCCTTTGTCGGTGCACAATGTTTTGTTGACATTGTGTGGTTTGTTGGGGAGAATACTTGCAGACATACCTTACAGCATTTCAGAGTCACACTGCTTGTGATAGAAGATTCTTGTCAATTTGGCAAGCTGAACGCACTCTGTACTGTACAGGAGACACGGCACGGAGGAGATTGATTGACAATAGTCTACAGCCAATCAGGACGCAAAACACAATGCACTAATCAGGACGCTGCAGAAAAAAGCATGTCAAACTGCATGAAAAAAATCCGTGAAACTGCGAGGCCACAAAAGGTGAACCGCGTCATAATGAGGGACCACTGTATACAAGTGCTAAAGAACATGACATGATCAAATTTCACTCATTTTCTTTAAAGCAGGGTGTCCAAAGTTGTTCACACAGTGTGTCCAAAATCATGTACTGTGTAAGCAGGTACCACATTTGAACTTACTTCATGACTGTTAAAATAGCATATTTTAATATAGTATGAATATGAGTGGTATGAATGGTATCTGGACATGCTACATCTGCCATGTTGTCATGATCACATGACCTCAGTTGCATTGTTTCAATGCCAGTTAGAAATGCTCTTCCATGGCCCCAGTAAAATGTTCATCGAATATGCATTCAAGGATCAGAACTAGTAGTTCATTATGGTACTGCACGCCTACTGTTTTTGAATGCTTTGAATTTGGACATACTGCTCGACTTACATACTATCCATACTATATAGTAGGAAAGTAACTCTTTATGAGTCATTTGCATGACAATGTCAACCAAAAACTTGAATATTTATATTATTATTTATTAATAAAAGTTTTCCCTGTTCAATTACATAACAAATGCAATAATCTGAAAATAGGTTACAAAAGTGGACGTTTTTAAAAATGCTGCCACATCTTTACTACTTTACAGGTACTGCTTAATCACAAAGTCCCAGCTTTAAATTCTGACCTGACATATGTAAGAAAGAGTTTTTGGCAATTTTTTTTGTGGATGTGTGAATGCATATTTCTTAGAAAACTAAAAAAAAAAAAAAAAATTCAACGTAAAGGAAAAATATTTCAATTTTTGACAACCACATTGTCATGTAAATGTAGCCTAAATGTACCTTAAACATACCTGAAACAGCTAATGAAGTTGGTTGAGCTGAAATTGGCAAGCCATTTGACATCCAGAAGCAGTATTGGATCACCCTTGTTTTAAAAACTTTTGGCACCGATGGCCTTCCATATCTTTGTGGCATCACAATGTGTGCGGGTAATGATTGACAGGTCTGGTTTAGATGTAGCATTTGATGTACTTGTGAGATGTTCACAGTATCATGAAGTTTAAGGGCTGGGGCGCATGTAAAGATTCACGTTGGCGGCCTGTAGTGTCCTACAAATACCCCTTTGTAATTATTTATTATGTTATATTTATTAATTGTACATTCATTTTCTGCTTTTCGGAGCCAATATAGCAGGAAGATGCTTGTAACCCCACTTGATTAGTTTACCCTACGTTATTGTTAACCGAGGAGATGATGGTTGCAATTAGATGGACGTTGGGAAATGCATCGTCTTAACGCGGGACAGGGTATGGGACATTGTAACAAGGAAGTTTGAGTATGCAAAACAGTTACGAAGAGGAAAAAACGTTTGGGACTGAAAGCGACACCCTCATTTTCTCTATTCAATGGACCACAAAGCCTCTATGTGTCTCTATGTGCCTGCAGAAAATTCAACCTGGACTGAATATTGAGCAGCAGGACTGCAAACAACCCACCACGAACCTCCGGGCCTCTTCATCTCAACCACTGTAGCCAAGCGAAAACGTCTCAATCCTGGAAAAAAAAAACATGTCACTTTTCAAGAAGAGAATTGTTTGAGCCACCAAACAGGAGCCTGACACTTAAACGGTACAAACTTTTGAGCAAGTGCAAGTAGATTTTTTTATAGTCCTGTTGTAAAGCATGAGGACATTGAAAAGTGAGAGCTTTTGGCTCGTTTTATGCTTTATGGATGTGGAATGACGTAAAAAAACAAACAAAAAAAGCTGCAATTTTATACGTTCTTAGTAATGGCTTTCTTAAAGGGACCTCTATAGCCTACTTTTCGCTTTGGCTGTTGTGCTAACATGATTTTCCCGTTTAGGGTAGAACTGAGACGCTGTTGTAATAAAAGATTGTGATGATTATTTCACCATCTCCGCCTGCGTGGAAGGAGTCTCTGTGTTTCATCTCATTCATTGACTGACTTATTTCTGCCACACAGGTTAGTAGGAGCTCAGCTGCTGAGAGTTTCATTTATCATGTCTTATAAAAGCACATTCTTATTTCTAATTAAGGGTGTCACGATCCTCCAAATCCTCGATTCGATTACATTTTCGATTCTAAAGGCACGATTCGATTTTCAATTATGAATAATTAATTAATGACCAATTAATTATTTGTAGCCTACCGTTTAAACTACCTGACAAGCATGGTCTTACCCATAAACAAATCATACAGTAAATGAATAAAGGCAAGATACACGCATAATTACCACCTGTCAATCACTTTTTTCTGCGGGACTCGTGAATAGGCAGTGATCTGTGTCGTTATAATGGCGTCGGTAAAAAACAACCAACAGGAACCAGCCAACAGTATCTGAGGTGTTCGCTAAAATGACTAAGTACAAGTGAGTGAAAGATTGAAGCAGTCCTCTGACTGCCTGGACCCGCTGTCTCGAGCGCATGGCCGTGTGTGCGTCTGTGTCTGTGTGGTCACGTGATGTGCATTTTCAGAGGTAGAGAGGAAGGAGGGCTGCTCAGAAATGCTACACGCCACTGTGAATGTCAAATCGTTGTCGTTTTAAAATGCCTTTCAAAAACAAAGCCAGTGTAAACAGGGCCTGAGTGTGGACTTTTCGCGAGCGGATTTGCAACGGGGGCGGGCGGAGGATCGCGATGCCGGTGTTGTCTATTGGACGAACCATACGTAATACGTACATAGCAGAGCTTGCAAAACTGTTTTTTTTTGTCGACAACACGAACGTTGTCAACAGAACTCACTGGAAATCCAAAATGCTTACACACCTGTGACTTCATTGAAAGAGGAGAGGGTTTAAGTTCTGTAGCTTCTGCAGTTTAACAGGCACTTCAACAAGCCTGTTTTTTTTCCCGCTTGGCAAGCCAAGCTGACGTGACATGGGGGCGTGGCAGCATCGACGATTCTATTTTTTGATTCGATAATCGAAATTGTGCATAAATTTCGATCGATTTCGATTAAAAATCGAAATCGTGACACCCCTATTTCTAATGTCTTTATTGTAATACTAGGCCATAGATTTTAAAGTACACGTTATTATCAACACTGTAAAAAGCTGGGTTCCACATAATTGATTTGTGTTGGGGCAACATTAAGGCATTAAGGCTACTCATTAGTTGTTCTAATTTAAATGGATTGAACATAAAACAATTAAGTTGTCCCAAAAAACTGCAAGAATTGTGTTGTTTCAGCTCATTTTAAATAAGTAGTTTGAACAAACAGCAAACATTATTTTTTGAGGGTAGCATGTGCAGTAGGTGATCTGCCATTATGCTAACAGTTAGCATAATAGCTTTGAAAACACAGTCACTTCCCTGCTGTACAAAGCCCCGCCTCCTGAAATCAGATGCATACACTGTAAAACCCGACAGTCAACTTCATCAAATGAAATGAGTGTATTTAACTCAAAATTAAGGGTGAGTTAATTCTACACATTTGAAAAGAGTTTTGAACTCAGTGTTTTAGGTAATGAGTTAGTTAAATACCTCATTAATTCAACTTAAATAGAGTAAGTTCACAGTACTCATATAGATTAACTCAAATGGTTTGTAGCAATCGGTTTCCTCAAATGATTTGAGTTGCCTTAACTTATTGGGTTTTGCAATACTCAGTTGGTTTGTGTTCTCTTCATTTATTGGGTTTTACTGTGCTCAACTTGCTTTGTTTACTCAAATAAACTTAGTTCACACACAGTACGGGCCAGCTTATTCAAACCTGTGACAGAGCCATCTGCTGCTCTGGCAGTGATAATGTGGGTTTGGGATGATTCGTAACATTTTTATAATTGTAGCGAGTAAGGATGCAGCACATAAAAAAATCTATCGGAGTAAAAGTATTAAACTTATCGAAAATATGTACTGAAGTAAAAGTGAAAGAGGAAAAAGCAATACTCCAGCAGAGTACAGATACAGCCTTTTACTTAAGTAAAGTACTGAAGTAGTTCTATACATCTCTGTTATTAAGCCTCATTTACATGCTATGTCACACTGACTATTCAGAGTAGCATGGTAAACAATATAGGAAGCGCATAAAAAAAGCTGGGTTCCACTTAACCGATTTGTGTTGGGTAACATGAAGGGATTAAGTTCACTCATTAGTTGTTCTAATTTAAATGTATTGAACAAAAAAAAAACGATTAGTTTGTCCCAAAAAAACTGCAAGAACTGTGTTGTTTCAGCTCATTTTAAATAAGTAGTTTGAACAAACATCAAACTTTACTTTTTTGAAAGTAGCATGTGCAGTAGGTGATCTGCCAAAATGCTAACAGTTAGCATAATAGCTTTGAAAACACAGTCACTTCCCTGTTGATGCGTACACTGTAAAACCCGACAGTCAACTTCATCAAATGAAATGAGTGTATTTAACACAAAATTAAGGGTGAATTAATTCTACACATTTGAAAAGAGTTTTGAACTCAGTTTTTTAGGTAATGAGTTAAATACCTCATTACTTCAACTTAAATAGAGTAAGTTCACAGTACTCGTATAGATTAACTCAAATGGTTTGTAGTAATCGGTTTCCTCAAATGATTTGAGTTGCCTTAACTTATTGGGTTTTGCAATACTCAGTTGGTTTGAGTTCTCTTCATTTATTGGGTTTTACTGTGCTCAACTTGCTTTGTTTACTCAAATAAACTTAGTTCACACACAGTACGGGCCAGCTTACTCAAACCTGTGACAGAGCCATCTGCTGCTCTGGCAGTGATAATGTGGGTTTGGGATGATTCGTAACATTTTTATAATTGTAGCGAGTAAGGATGCAGCACATAAAAAATCTATCGGAGTAAAAGTATTAAACTTATCGAAAATATGTACTGAAGTAAAAGCGAAAGAGGAAAAAGCAATACTCCAGCAGAGTACAGGTACAGCCTTTTACTTAAGTACGGTACTGAAGTAGTTCTATACATCTCTGTTACTAAGCCTCACTTACATGCTATTTCACACTGACTATTCAGAGTAGCATGGTAAACAATATAGGAAGCGCATAAAAAAAAGCTGGGTTCCACTTAACCGATTTGTGTTGGGTAACATGAAGGGATTAAGTTCACTCATTAGTTGTTCTAATTTAAATGGATTGAACATAAAACAATTAAGTTGTCCCAAAAAACTGCAAGAATTGTGTTGTTTCAGCACATTTTAAATAAGTAGTTTGAACAAACAGCAAACATTATTTTTTGAGGGTAGCATGTGCAGTAGGTGATCTGCCATTATGCTAACAGTTAGCATAATAGCTTTGAAAACACAGTCACTTCCCTGTTGATGCGTACACTGTAAAACCCGACAGTCAACTTCATCAAATGAAATGAGTGTATTTAACTCAAAATTAAGGGTGAGTTAATTCTACACATTTGAAAAGAGTTTTGAACTCAGTGTTTTAGGTAATGAGTTAGTTAAATACCTCATTACTTCAACTTAAATAGAGTAAGTTCACAGTACTCGTATATATTATCTTAAATGGTTTGTAGCAATCGGTTTCCTCAAATGATTTGAGTTGCCTTAACTTATTGGGTTTTGCAATACTCAGTTGGTTTGTGTTCTCTTCATTTATTGGGTTTTACTGTGCTCAACTTGCTTTGTTTACTCAAATAAACTTAGTTCACACACAGTACGGGCCAGCTTACTCAAACCTGTGACAGAGCCATCTGCTGCTCTGGCAGTGATAATGTGGGTTTGGGATGATTCGTAACATTTTTATAATTGTAGCGAGTAAGGATGCAGCACATAAAAAATCTATCGGAGTAAAAGTATTAAACTTATCGAAAATATGTACTGAAGTAAAAGCGAAAGAGGAAAAAACACAATACTCCATCAGAGTACAGGTACAGCCTTTTACTTAAGTACGGTACTGAAGTAGTTCTATACATCTCTGTTACTAAGCCTCACTTACATGCTATGTCACACTGACTATTCAGAGTAGCATGGTAAACAATATAGGAAGCGCATAAAAAAAAGCTGGGTTCCACTTAACCGATTTGTGTTGGGTAACATGAAGGGATTAAGTTCACTCATTAGTTGTTCTAATTTAAATGTATTGAACAAAAAAAAAAACGATTAGTTTGTCCCAAAAAAACTGCAAGAACTGTGTTGTTTCAGCTCATTTTAAATAAGTAGTTTGAACAAACATCAAACTTTACTTTTTTGAAAGTAGCATGTGCAGTAGGTGATCTGCCAAAATGCTAACAGTTAGCATAATAGCTTTGAAAACACAGTCACTTCCCTGCTGATGCGTACACTGTAAAACCCGACAGTCAACTTCATCAAATGAAATGAGTGTATTTAACTCAAAATTAAGGGTGAATTAATTCTACACATTTAAAAAGAGTTTTGAACTCAGTTTTTTAGGTAATGAGTTAAATACCTCATTACTTCAACTTAAATAGAGTAAGTTCACAGTACTCGTATAGATTAACTCAAATGGTTTGTAGTAATCGGTTTCCTCAAATGATTTGAGTTGCCTTAACTTATTGGGTTTTGCAATACTCAGTTGGTTTGTGTTCTCTTCATTTATTGGGTTTTACTGTGCTCAACTTGCTTTGTTTACTCAAATAAACTTAGTTCACACACAGTACGGGCCAGCTTGTTCAAACCTGTGACAGCCATCTGCTGCACTGGCAGTGATAATGTGGGTTTGGGATGATTCGTAACATTTTTATAATTGTAGCGAGTAAGGATGCAGCACATAAAAAATCTATCGGAGTAAAAGTATTAAACTTAACGAAAATATGTACTGAAGTAAAAGCGAAAGAGGAAAAACACAATACTCCAGCAGAGTACAGGTACAGCCTTTTACTTAAGTACGGTACTGAAGTAGTTCTATACATCTCTGTTACTAAGCCTCACTTACATGCTATTTGACACTGACTATTCAGAGTAGCATGGTAAACAATATAGGAAGCGCAT